CAATGATAGCCAATATGGGAGACATTAGTTTGGATAAGACATTGCTATCTGTTTTGAATTCATTTGTAAAAGTAATTGTTTAATAAAAAAAATTGCTTAGTTATTTTATAATTAGTTATAAATTCTTATGAAGTATTAGATATAAACAGCAATATAAACTAAATGATAACTAATACTTTACTTTTAGGAAGTTACAATGTTTTGGTTATTTTAAAATCCAATTGAATTAATATAAAAATATTTTATTTGTTAAAATAAATCTGAATTTTATCGTAACTTATTACGATCTAATTAGTAATAAAAACTGTACCTGAGGCTATGTATTTTAAGTTTAAATAATATTTGAATTAATAATAAACTCAGTTTCTATGTTGTAATTGAGTACTATAGGTTACATCTGTTATGAAAGCCCATAAATTGCTGTGATTAGTAGAATAACAAGTAATTGAAAGTTAATTTCTATTTTCGGAATAATTCAATAAATTAATATTGATTTACTAGTTTATTTACGCTATAATCAAGAAAATAATATAGAGAATTCTTATTAAAATTACAGATGTCACATTTTCACAAATAAATCAAAACTATCATTATTATGCAAATTGGATTATTTCGTGTCAGTAAACATGATTTTGGTCCAATGTACATTACATTGTATACTTTTACATGTATACTTTGCACTAATTATGGTCAATAAACAAATAAATTTAATAAACTTCAAATGAACTTAAATAATAAATAAAATTATTTTAAGATTAGTTGATAAACTATGAAAATTATACATTTTTATAAAGTTATTGTCTTATTAATTAATACATTCATAGATTGTAAATTGATTAAAATAAGATATTCTACTTGAAATAAATTCTTATTTGTGTGTTATTTTAAAAATTAAGCAATTACATTTTGTGCACTATAATGTTGAAATCAGAAATATCTTATAAAATACCCAAATATTTATTGATAGAGTCCGCGGGAACTCATTTATACAGATATGGCATCTCATGGTTCAGATTTGGATCAATTAACAGATCACTAATATTTCATCCATTAGTTTGTGTGATAATTGTCTCTATTTATATGATTCGTTGTTTGCTTGCAATCATAATCACCTCAAATGATGAGGAAATATATTTACTAATTGCTGACTTTTCTCACTTTATTGGCGCTAAATACCACTCAAATGTGTATTTATTACTTTGCTGTCAATTCGTAATATTGCCACAAATGATCCACTTTTATAATTACAAGAATGGATTGAAGCCTACAATGAGACCATTTGAGATGATGTCTGGTGTTATATCACCGGTCAGTATTGGTCTCACAAATGTTATAAGTATTAAAAAGTTATTAAAACTATCAAAATTGTTATTAACATTATCTCGATATCAGATTTATTCATTCCCGTTAGTTGGCTTTGTATTTACTTTGATGCTATTTATCCAGTGTTTTACGGGAAATTATGTTCACTTGATCATTTTAATAATTGCAAATATATTTTGGGCAATTATACTGGCTATGTGTGGCTATATTTTAGGCAATTATTTCTTTTACCATTTAATATATCTATTTATTATCATTTATTATTCAACACTTAAAATCAAAGCTATTAATCAAGATATCCGATATTTGCTAATAAACAAACTCGATATCAATACGTTAAACATAAGGAAACTATTAATAAAATTAAATTTAATCCATAAAGAGATTATTGAATTTAATGATAATGTATGGTCACAATTTATATTGATTTACGTTTATATTAATATAGTGTTCATTACATTCTCGCTATATGTTAGCATATACGTGGACACAAATATCATAATTAAGATAACATTTGGATACAGCTCTATATTTTGGACAATTTGCTTCAATATTATACTTAAAACAGCTTCACAATTAGTTTATGAGTGCATTAAATCATATAAATTATTAATTGTATTAATTAATATTAAAACTCATAAAAATATTTTGTCTAAAATGAAGGTATTATTTATTAACATGTATTTCACATAAAAATTGAATTGACTTTTACTTTGATTTTAAGTTACTTTCAATGATCGAGAAGTTAAGTTATAAAGACATTGGATTTTATTGCTATAAATCATTTATCATTGATTATCACAATTTTTATCAGGTATACATTAGTATCATAAGCTTGGTAATTGAGATCATAATTACTTTATTATTTACAGATAATCGTAATAATGATAGCCTTCTTCTTAAAAATAGCTCAAATGTCAAAATGATCAAGTAACATTATTCATTAAATTTAAATGTTGCCTAATTATAATTTAGGTGTCGTTTATCAACAAAAAAGTCATCAAAAATATATAATCTGTAAAATATTTCCTATTTTTAAAACATAATAAAGCATAATATATTTGATCAAGTTTTGTAATTTGGAAAATTTCATACAAAATGTTTTTAATAAAATATATTACAAAGTCTTTTGAAACTTTGAGTCAATTACTAATTAACTCAATTAGTGCTGTATTACAGTAATACAAACTTTCAAATAAGTTTTTATCAAAATTTTTTTGTTCAAACCTTCAGTACATTCAGACATTTATTAATAAAATGTAAGAAATGCGAAAATACTTACGTTTTGCTCATAAATGTCATATTTATTGAACCTTCAAATCAATATCCAAAATGAGTTATACTTTCAATGATTTGATAAACATTTAACATTTCGATCACTTTTACCAATGAATGCATTAACTATGCGTTCATTATATGGAGTGCAGACTGTATTGTACTCGCATTGCATGAGTGAGAGTCACGTGACAGTCACGTGACAAACATATTGAAACCGTTTAGCCATTCATTTCCATGTCTTCACTCAATAATCATGTCTTCGACCGCAACGTGTGTAGTCATCAATGGATCCAATGGTGACACCGACTCGGAGGACATCCATTGCTTCGATCACATCGAGGATATCGTAGACATGGAGGACATCGAAGACATTGCCATAGATTACGATCAGATGAGAGACCTATTGGTGTTCACTTCAGATGATATGAACAATGGTTTGGATGGAAGACAATTGAATCCAATTGAGTGTCAATTAAATGCAGATCTCATTGAGGAGTACTTCAAACCCAATGACAGTAAGTCTGAAGACTGAAAACTTTTATCTTTATTTAATCCCATATTTATTATCCATTTCTTAGTCTCGAAAGTCTTGGAAATCATCGAAACTGTGGACACAACTCGTGAGACAATCAATGGTTAGTTGTTTTGTGATGTCTTTTATGGCAACCTTTTGTTGATATTTATTTGACTTTAGACGTGAATACAAGTGACAATTGTGTCATTGAAAGTCGGGATAACAACACAAATGGCGTTAATTTGATCCCAAAACGCAAGAAACAGAAGACTAGTGACACTAAATCGGGAAAACAGTTGAGGTTTTTGTTCGAGAAGTTTGGTCTTCGAGTCAATGATAAGAGTCGTACGAATGGTACGAATGGCTCACAAGTTGTCGACAATTCTGGAAGAATTCACACCAGAAGTCAAACCAACTCTAAGGCCAGGCCATCGAAATCAGATGAAACTCTTAGCCAACCAACGGATCAGTCGTCCAATCAGGTGAAGACAATTGTGTCCAAAAGTAATCCCAAACCCCATTCAAAGACACAAATGTTGGCGAATAAGGACTCAAATAATGAAAGAAATGTTTTAAATGACGGAAATCTCACCAAAAATGACAATCAATGCCATCGAAGACAACTCAATGGAAACCAATCCAAGAAATTGGTGCCAAACAATGGTTTTAAGCCTAAGATTATGGCCTTTCCTAATCACGTTATTCATAATTACTCGAAATCATGTGAAAAAATTGTGGAACCGATGGAACCGATGTGTGCGAAGACATCTAATGATAATACCGGTAATAGGAATGCAGTCTATTATAAGCCAAACAAATCGACTTATAGTATAGACTTGAATGCATTTCGTAACCAAATTCACGACAAAACTCACAATCGATTGAAAGTAAATTCAAGTGTAAAGCAAATACCAATGAATACAACGAATACTAAAGGATTGAAAAATAAAGTGACGGTTATGTCCACCAAATGTGACAATCAGTTGAATTCAAGTTCAAGAAGTGATTCAAGGGCTGAAGGGTCGGGTATTTTAAGGACACAGGTTTTATTGAAACCCAAACAGAAAGTGGTATTTGTTAACAAAAGTTGTCTAAAAGTCGCTAAAATACACGTAAATACTGTTGTGAATCACCCTTCGGTCCACATCTACACCAATCAGCCAAAGGCCGCACTCGACATAACTGTCGGCCCAATAGTCACTACAAATAGACGTAATGCATAATTTAGGATTTGATATATTTTTATACTTTTGTATTGTTTTGATGTTTTGTATTCTGGTACCGGTATATAGTACTACTAAATTATAATAGCAGTTGTTTTACCAGAAAAGCTATTTTTAAAGTTTTACTTTTTTGCCTATATTTCCAGTAATTCACTTACAAAAATATATACGGTAATTCGTTTTATGCTTTAATTTATAGTGAATTTAAATAGTTTAAGATCATGTTTTCATTTCATTTAATACTATATTCTCGTTTAAATATTTTTTAAATATTTGTTTTGTTTATTTTCGTACTAACTGTTATTTTGATAATTTTGTAAAACATTTTGTATTAAATATTGGCAAAATAAATGTTATTCTAAATAAATATTTTATTTCAATATTTCTTTTAACAGTTAGACTAAGCTTTGTATTACCGTAAAAATTACAGTTATTTTGTATTTACAGTAATTATCTTCTGAAACAAGTGCATCTAAACTATTTAATAGTATACTGTACCCAGAAAATGCATTTTGTATTATAAATACAATTAATATGTCAATTAATATCTTAATTGTATTTTGTCATGTTGATAAAAATAATTTTGATTAAATAGTGTATTTTAATTTTGCAAATTGAGAGATATACTATAAACTATTTAGTTATTTATAATTTATAATAATTGTTTTCTAAATAAATGTTAATATGTCTGAATTAAATTTAAGGTTGAAATGACCACAGAATATGGTAATACCTTCATCGGGAACTCATTTATACAGATATGGCATCTCATTGTTTGCCGTCAATTATATACATCCAAAGGAAACTCATTTATAATCCATGTATTAATTTCTTGATTATATTTATTTACGTTATGCGAAGTTTTGTTGCAATAATAATCACTTCAAGTGATGACAAAATTCATTTATTAATCGCAAATTTTGCGCATTTTCTCGGAGCCGAAAGTCATATAAATTTGGCCCTAATTTTGGTCTATATTTATGTGTTTTTCTCACAATTCGTGCAATTCTTCGACTATAAGAATATCACAAAACCTCTATTCATGAGACCATTTGAGATGATGTCTGGTTTTGTATCACCGCTTAGTATTGGTATCACAAATGAATCCGACTTAAAACAATTGCTCAACATTTCTAACTTATTATTTAAATATTCAAAAATACTAATTATTTCCTACCCTATGGTTGGATCTCTATTTTCATCGGTACTTATATTTCAATGTTTTGTAAATTGTTATAATAATTACGTGATTATTTCACTGTTTATACTGTTTAATGCTTTTATAATGATGCTTGGTGCATATATTCTTGGCAATTATTTTATTTATCAAATAATATATCTTTATTTAATATTATTTTATACAAAACTTAAAGTCAAGAGTATTAATCTCAATATTAAAGATCAATTGGTGTTGAAAAGTGATTTATTACAATTTTAATTAAAACATATTTTAATTACAATTTTCACAAGTATTATGTTTATTACATTTACGGCTTATGTGATAATATTTGTTAAAATGTATACCATACTTAAAATAACATTATTGTATTGTTCACTTTTGTATTTGATATTATTTATAATAATTCTTAATATTGCTTCACAAGTAGTATACGAATTAAAAATATATAAATTATTGAATTTATTATTAATTAATCGGCCAACTTTTATAATCTTAAAGTTAAAGGTAAATAAATATTTGTTAATTTATTAATAATTTATTTATATATTCCCCTTATTTCTAGTTGCTTTCAATGATTGAGAAAATTAGTTACAAAAAGATTGGTTATTATTGTTATTATTTGTTTATTATTGACTACAAAAATTTTTATGAGATAAACAAATATTTTATTTTATAAAAAATAATTAATTTTATTTGACAATTTTTTGATAGGTAATAATTATTTTGATTGCTATATTCCTTAAAATAATTGAAATATCGTACATAAATAAAAATACGTAAATTATAAACTGCTACACTGTATGTAATTATTATTAAATGATCATGTTTTCTTACTTATTAATATATAAAATAAACACAATCATTTTTGATTAAATTTAATTTGATTAATTACATATTTATATTTTATAAACTAGTCATTAGAATTAAAAATACAAAGAATGTTTGATTAATATTATATATTTGATAATTATATTTATCAAATAATGATCTGAACATTATTATTATTAAAATTACTTCAATATTCTATTATTTATTTTTATTGATTACTGTATCTATTATGTACTGTGCTTATTTATTTATATTAACCGTAATAATTACATCCATTATAAAATAAAACGTCTTTTACTTGTTTATAGTAAATAAGACAAGGTTTGAGAAATAAAGTTTTAAACGTGTAATTTTTATTTTTAAGCTTAAATAGACTACAAATATGATACAAATATTTACATTTTGTATTTTCTCTTATTATAAGACTCATATATAAACTTGTACTAAACTAGCTTATTTTATAACAATTATTCTACAGCATTATTATTAAAATTCATTTTAAATTCTATTTAAGGTATTTTTTATATAATTTATATAATGATTATATAATTAATTTTATATAATGAAATGTAAAATGTGTATTTTTATATTTACTGATCTTAAAAATGAAATGATTTATGTTATTATTTTATATTAATGAATATATTTATAATTTGTATCACCAGTCAAAAATTATGTTTTGAGTTGAAAATTTTTAAGATTTTAGTGTATTATATAATTAAATAAAATTTATAAGAATGCTAAATATATAATTATTATAATATAAAATACTGAGGTATGTTTTGTTAGGTAATTAATAGTCTTAAAGTACTAATAATTATATTAATATGCCCGCACTTAAAATTTTTGTAATACATTTTTGGTGCATAAGTTATATAATATATAACTAATATATAATTATATTATAATACATCGTGTACTATATATATATAAATGTAATTAAGGCAAATGATAATTATATTGTAATTATATTGTATCGACCAATAACACTATCATGTGTTCTACTGTACAGTAAATTTTATAATATAAGTCACCAATATTATTGCATTTGATATTTTTATGTGTAACTTATAGTAATTAAAATATAATTATCATATTGACGCAATAATCACATTAAAATACTTATAATTATCTAAAATGATAACTATAATTATAAATATGTTTACAAAATAATAAATAGTTAATTAATTCGTTCTGGTTACTTAATTTTCTGGTAATATTAGATAACTTTTATCAACAATTTAACGCAAATACAAACTAATATAATGAGTAACTTAGATTTAAGTTTAAAACTACCTATACATTTGGTCATACCATCAGCGGGAACCCATTTATACAGATATGGCGTCTCGTGGTTTAAATTTGGTGTCAATAACAGACATCTTATTCATAATCCAATAATCCATTTCCTCGTCCTATCATTAGTTATAATCCGTTCATCCATTTTGATGGCAATCACTTCAGCCAACGATCAAATATATCTAATGTTTGGAGACTTTTCATACTTTATTGGGGCCAAGTACCATGGTAATCTATGGCTTATATATTGCAATCAATTCGCTATATTCTCACAAATTGTTCACTTTATGGACCACAAGGAAGGCGTGAAACCTTTATATATGAGACCATTTGAGATGATGTCGGGAAAGGTATCACCGCTTAGTGTTGGTATCACTAATGAATCAGATTTAAGGAAATTGCTTAAGATTTCTAAATTTTTGCTTAAAATGTCGAGAAAAATGGTAATGAGTTTTCCAGTGGTTGGAGTGGTTTTTGCCATCATTTTACTCAAACAGTGCTTTATTTATTGCCATGCTAATTATATAATTTTAATTGTATCAATATTTATTCAAAGTATACTTATAATGGCTGATGGCTATATAATCGCCATTCATTTATTTTTACAATTAATATATTTTTATTTGATTTTATTTTACGTGAGGCTTAAGATTAAAAGGATTAATGTCGATATTAAGTATATTTTGCGTTATAGACGTAATACTGATGTTTTAAATGTCAGAAAACTTCTCATAAGAATTAATTTGTGTCATAAAGAGATCATTGAATTGAATGCTAACGTTTGGTCTAAATTTATCCTGGTGTTTATTTATGGGAACATTATGTTCACAACAATGACACTCTATGTGAGCATATTTGTCGAAATGGGTTTTATGATTAAAATATCGTTCATTTATTGCACTTCTA